TTTATTTCAATTTGAATTAAAAAATTATAAAGTTACTTTTCTTCAAGGTGTCTTGGATTGTTTCAATTGACTATCATGAAAATAATAATGTTCTGATGTTTTTTTTTCATATAATTTTCAGTAATACCCAATAGAGTACAACAAAACAGAAAGTGGAAGCTCAATCAGATCATAAAATTTAGGATTGATATTAAAATTTATAGACTCCTAATTCTATTTTGATTTATATCTGTCCCTCGCACAAAATACACTTTTACTCATATTAATGATACACATCTGTATCTATATATATCTCTCTCTCTCTTTCTATATATATATATATATATATATATATATATATATATATATATACATAGATAATATTAGTGGTAAATATACATACATATGCAAAATATATAAATATATATACATACATGCATACACATACATATATAAAGTTTGAATAAAAATTCCAAGAGGATAGAATCCAGGTAGAACTCAATGTCCAGGACAGAGTAAGGATATAATAAAAGGCTTAAACACTAATATTAGTATTTAAGCCTTTTTTTATATATATATATATATATATATATATATATATATATGTGTGTGTGTGTGTGTGTGTGTGTATGTAAAGAATGTATTTTTATTAATATTTTATTAATATTTTAGTAAAATATAATAAAAAAATAAAAACTAATATTAGTGTTTAAGCCTTTTTATTATATATATATATATATATATATATATGTGTGTGTGTGTGTGTGTGTGTGTGTGTGAGAATGTATTTTATTAATCTGACAGATTTGTATCACTTTAAACATTATTTTTAGTAGATACTCCTATTTGAGTAGATACGCCATTTATTTATTAAACAGTAGATTTATTTATTTTCTCCTACCAGCTAGAAAGTTCAATAAATCTCAAAGAAAAATGTGCACCCTTTGTCAAGAATTGAGCCTGAGTCCCCTAGGAAAGAGTGAGTAACTTTTTAGCCTAGAACACCTTACCACTTGGCCAGGAAGGAACTGACTATTTGGCAAAGTTGATTTCATGCTTTTCAAGCCAAATTTCCCCTGTTATAGAATCTCTCAAATTTTTCCATATCTGCTCATAGTTTTGTGTCCAAACATAAACAAAGAGTATTTTTTTAGAATGGATTTTTATTATTCCAAGTGATTAACTTTAAATGTTAAACACACATGCAGACACATACACACACATACATATATATATATATATTCAATGATTTGGAATAAATATTACTCTGTCTATCTAAGTGTTCTACTATAAGTAGAAAAATATATATAAAAATAAATAATGTCCATTGAGTGTTGAATAAAATAGTGCTCAATGTAAAATAACAGAGCTTCATTATCTTATATTGAGCACTGTTTTATTATTATCACCAACATTCATTGTGCACTATTTAATACTTATATAACTTAGAAAAATTTTTATTTTGGCATATTTTGCCGGTGATCCAGAAGATCCCAAAGAATTAGTAACTACATTAACAAACCAATATATGATCCATATTAAGCATCTGGATGCTTGATTTTTATTTTAACTGTATAATTATCAAAATTAGATTTTAATTGATTTAAATTCAGTTTTAATTTCATTATTATTTATATATTGCTTCAGTAACAATTTAATAATTAAAAGGAATAAATTGAGAGTAATTATAGGAGAGACCCAAATCCAAGCACTTTCACACACACATACACACAGACCCACCCACAAACACACATGTATGTATGTATTATTATACACATGGTCATGGTCAGTTTGAGACCTATGTTCAAATCTCACCATGATCAATTTTTTCACATCCCGTAATGCGATTCCAGCATGTGGAACTTATGTAAAATAACTCTAGTATAAACCATACCATGGGTTGACCCAAGCCTTGTGAGTGAAATTATGTAGATAGAGCTGTTGCTGGTTGTGCTTGAGTATCTTGATCAAGAAATTGACCATGCCAGATTATGTGCTCTTTTCCAGGAACTGTAACTAAGGTCAGCTCAGTATAGTAGCAGTATAAACCACAGGTGGGTTCTGTAGGGATTAAACAAACATAAATGTACATGGGCAGGTGTCTGTAACTGGTATTGGGAAGCTGCCCTAGTAGATGGGTGTGCTTGGAAAATGAGTGTAGCTGGTCATATGTATTGTTATATACAAATATGTATAAGCATAAATTTGTTATAGAAAATAATAGATTAAAAATAAGAACTATTAATTCCTCAAAAATGATAAATATCTCTCTCTCTCTCTCTCTTATATATATATATATATATATATATATATATATAATGCTAAATTAAGAAAGACCTCAAAAATCCATATCGGTTATAATTTATTTATTTAGTCTGAAGAGATGAATCTAACAATATTCATGAGATAAATTGAAACAAAACAAGTTCAGTTGACCACTGATGACAATTCCAGAACAACATAACTATAAACAATTTTTTTGCTATCCTCTGCCAGCTAGCAATGATGGAGAAAGCATTACCTCGAACCATTGCCAGTGAGACACGCTGCAAGAGCCACTCCATTTCGCAAGGTTCATCCCTTAATCAAGATGTAATCGCACCAATCCTCCGAAGGAACACCATCAAACGAGGGCCAATAACCCCTGAAGTCTCCACTGCCACAGGAGTAAAAAAAATCTATTAGCAAGAGAAGAATATTTAACTATTTTTTTCATCTCTGCATCCCGGTCGACAGATCCTGGCTCAACTGAGGAACTGATCAAATTACTGGCCAAAAATGTATCCACACAGGTCACATCCCAAATCAATGACTTCCCCATTTTAAAAGGGAAAATGGTAATGCCATCCGGCCTCTTTCCATTACCGCGGTCGAGGCCTATGGGTTCGATTTGGGAAGGGAACCCAGCTGCATCCAAACTTTTTCTGATGGTTGTTTATTGCTGCATGCCGTGGACAGCAGCCAGCACTACAACGACAGGAGAGAGGATGCAGACCAAACTCATCGATGGAAGCTCTACATCTGCATCTGTGGCGCTCACATAATTTGAGTCCAAGACAGATCGTGACTCCGACTCGAGTGCACTCATCATCTAGAAAGGTACCGGTAGATGAAGAGGGCACTGCGTTGAGCCAGGCGCCACTACTCGGTTGTGAAGCAGATAGTAGACAGGCGAGGTGATGCTGATCCAGAGAGAGCCTCAAATTAGTAAAATTGGCCTAGCATTTTATTTTATCCCAGCTTTTTGGTTTTGATGTGTCTAATGGGAGAGAAAGTAATTCTTGGGTCCAGACGCTGTAAGCTTGTTTGAAAGAACTACCCAAGAAACACTGAGATGATTCGCTGAGTATCTCATCAATTAATTCATGACTGGACGAAAGTGAAGAAAGATATGCTGGAAGGGCCAAATCTACTGCTGATCGAAGTCCCAGGCCTCCGAAACTCAAAGGGAGCTTTGCCTGCCTCCAACCTGTGTCATCAAAAAATAAATAAAAATGAAATAAATTATAGCTGAT